CATATTAGTAGATATCTGGATAATATGATATTACACAAATCTATTAAATTATAGTTAATGTTATGTTTATTTTAATTTAAATATCTAATAAATTCAATTTAAATTTTGATTATAAATAAAGCAGTATAATTTAAGTTTATATCAGATATAATATTTAATCGTGGTGTTAATAAAATAATATATACAAAAATACATGCATTTATTTTTGTTTAAAAGTAAATATAATTAATGGGTTTATATGTGTGACAATTAGTCACAGATTAAAATTCATTAACAATATTATTACGATTAAAATATTTAGATAGTTAAATTTTACTAAAAATGTTTTATAAACCATAGTAATTAACATTAAAAAAGATCTATCAGGTTAAACCTATCAAGATACTAAATTATTCCATTAAACCATAAAATAAGAAAAAATTTGACACACAATTAGAGCAGAATATATAGAACTCATAATTAGTGAACGGAAAGAAATCCCAACAATAGATACCAATGACTGGTCCGGACAGGCGTTCAATTAGACTCAATGTTTTGAACTTAAGGTCTAAACTCAAGCCCTGCTTCGGGTTGAGTCGGGCTAACAGTTGGTTTAGCAATGGGTATGAATAGTGAGCTGACCAGGCTATGTGTGATAGTAGATAATTGATTACAAATATATTGATTATAGTTGTAATCATAATAATTGTAATAAATGAGCGCAAATAGATGCTCGTCTCGTTTATTATTGAGATCAGACATAAATCAATGAATGGCACCACCAGGTAATAATATGCGCACATCAGGTATTTGAACCACGAGTTTATTTTCAATGTTAACCTGGTGCATGTATCGTATTCAACCAAGCATTTATATAATTGCCGTTTAAGTGCTATAGTATAGAAATTTAGATGACGGCGCCGATTAGTATCTATGTTGTTTTCAAAATATAAGGTTTATTACAAATTATTAGATTAATATTTTTATATGAGCATGACAACTTGCTTACATAATGTCAAAACGCTTTGAATATTGTTATTGACCACTCGATATCTTAACTGTAAATATTTATAAATAATATACACAAAGAAAAATGCGGTTACCATTAAACCGCTAAATGTTCGCAGTGCTATAAATTGTATCGGTCCCCAAATAAGTATGCTAATGTATAGTAAATAATTACCAGGGTTATGAAATATTATGTACACATAGAATGCGACAGACGCAAAAATTCCAGAGTACAATCCAAGTGTGAGAATAATTATAACGTATTTGGCCATGAACGTTGTGCCCGATGCAAATTCGGCCGCGTGTTTATCATCGAGCTCTAGGGTATTGTATTTTTCAAGTTTATATACAAAATATACCATGTGCGCGTCGGTGCCAGCCTCTTTTACTAACATAAATGTTCCTATAATATAGTTTTAGTATTCATATAATAATATTAAATTAATTATAAACCTAGTATAATCATAACAAATTCCTAAAATGCTAATACAGTGTAATTAGTATTAATTATTTAAATAAAGTTATAAATCAAATATCAATAACATGTTGAACATTTTTCATAACTTTTGTAGTATATAGTTACCTATGATAATGAGTATAAGAAGCATGGAATTCAAAATTAAGTAAACTAAATCCCCACGATTGAACACGTTTAAAAAGTCCACCAGGATCGTATTTGCGAGTGCATTATCGGCCATAAGGTATAAGAGCATAAATCTAATGATTTGCAGCCAAACGTTTACATTCTGACCGTAGGCTACAAATGTACGCCAGGGCTGTGACACCCGGGCCTTATACAAGTCAAGCCCATGGTAAACTAACAAGTTGTTTTGGGCAATAAACTCGTGAACTATGTCGACACCAGCTACTTTGCCCGACTTATCCGAACGATGCCATTTATTCCCTAATATTATAATTAATAATTTATTAATGATTTTGTCAATTAGTTTTTTAACAACGTTTACAATCCAGATTTGCATTTTGTATAATTGCACAAACTACTGTATAATTATAATAATAATGATTGTAATGTTTTTCAATAAGTTACATTACAGCAATTATTAGGTATGCCTTCAATTGTTTTTGTAGTAAAGTAAATAATATTTTTAAAATGAATAATAATATAGCATAAATACATTTAAAACATATAAATATAAATGGCATTAATAAACTATAAATTATTCTTCACATTAAAGTGCCTAATTATAAAAATATTTTTGAAATAAACATTATCAAAATATTGATTATGTAAGTAGTATTATTTAATACTATAGTAAATAGTCATTTATAAAGTAATATTATAATAAATATGTTATTTATAATCTAGATTTATTTCTTTTATTAAATGACAGTTTTGTAATTTATTTGATATGGAATATTTCAAATTATAGATTTTATGATTTATAAAAATAGAAAAATATAATATTTATAATCTAGATTTATTATTTATTTAATATGACAAATTTACTCATGGTCCTTGAGTCATGGATTTTATATTTAATGAAAATTGTATTTTTAATATTTTTAATTGACATTACATATACTGTACATAAAACATAATAAGTTATAATATTAAAATAATCCTAAATAAAACTAATTATACATATGAATCGCTGGCAAATAAATCAAACGTTCACAATTTTCATAAAATTTTTAACTTGGTTAATAAAAAATTAATTAAAAATGAAATAATTAGTGCTTAATCAACACGTTTAGCATAATGTTCCAAATTAAAATTTAATTTTATTCAGCAATTATTTAGTCCGTACATATTATACATATTGACAGTTTATACAGTATAAATTATACTTTACAAATATTACATTTACTAAATGCAAAACTTATTAATAATTTAACTAGCATCCCTAAATTCTAATAAGAAAATACAATGTAGTGTGAAAATGAATTTTAAACTTTATAGTAATTTTTTAACCATTAATATTTTTTGAATTTAGATATTACATTTATACTCTAGCTAAATCATAGAATAAAATGAAATTCTTGACACAATTCATACAAAATATGTAAAACTCATAATTAGTGAACGGAAATAAATCCCAGCAATAGATACCAATGACTGGTCCGGACAGGCGTTCAATGAGTGACAATATCTTAAGCCTAAGCCGTAAACTCAGACCATTTTGCGGGTCCTGTTTGGCAATCGCTGTGTTAAGCAATGGATAAGCATAATGTGCTGACCTGGCTATCAGTGACAGCATGTAGTTTACGTTAAATAAATTAATAAGAATTAATGAACCAAGAATGGCCATTGAAATTTGTATGTGCACATTTCGTTCATGTATTATTGTTATTATTACTAAATCAATGAACGGCACTATTAGATAGTAATAAGCAAACATGATAAACCGAAGCCAAGAATTAATGTTTAAAGTCAGCCTGGTACAATTTTCGTGCTTTGCCAGCATCAGATAGATGCGTCTCTCCAATACTAGACAATAAGAAATTATTATAATAATTAATTAATTAATTTTTATAACTTTTAGTATATTATATCATGTTTTATTTGCTAACCCAATGAATGTTTAATGCGTGCTCTTTCTCTTGATATAAACAGAGTACTTTCAGTATTTTCTAATAGACCTAAAAAGAAAATCATCTGGTTAATTAGTACAATTAATACTTATTATAATCATGATATAATTACATATTTTTAATGTTTGGCAAATAATGTCATTGATTTCTTGATATCTTAATTGAAAATATTTGTACAATATATAAATATAGTAAAATGACATAACCATTAAACCAGCCGTTGTTCTAATGCACATGTTTTGTAATATTAACCAGAACATTGTTAACATGCACATTTTAAAATTAGCACCATGGTCAATAGCAAACATAATCAGTAAATACGAGGCGCATATATGAACAAAATATTTCGCAAACGTAACAAGCAAAATAATATATTCGGCAGCCATTGTGGTAGATTTTGCAAATTTTTGACAGTTCACCTGGTTCAAATTAAGAGTACTGTAATGCTCCAACTTATACGACGTGTATATTATGTGTGTATTTGTGCCTGCCTCGGCACGTAACAAGTACAAACCTGTATTTTTCAGATTTGACAAAAATATTAATTAAATTATTATTATTAAATTTAATTAAAAATTACCTATAAATGCAAATAATGCCAATAGAACTGATATTAATAAACACGTGATTTCAGCACGCTCAAATAAGTAACACACATTCATTAACCATATTTGAACATAGTAATTATTTTTCATTATACATAACAACAAAAATCTGATAGCATTTAACCAAATGATAATATTTTGAGAGTAGGCTACAAAAGTGCGGCAGGGTAGCCAAGTATGTGCTCTATACTCGTGTATATCTCGGTATATTAGCAAGGTATTTATGATGTTAAACTGATGGTACATTAATACCCCGTTCACCATGTTGGCAAAACGGTCACTGCGGCAAACATTTCGATACCTCGAGCCCAATATAATTTTAATTATAAAATTAATGTAATTACTCATAATTGATAATTCTTGTATGTTAAATAAAAATTACAATGTAATTTTATATTATGGACATGATATTCCAAAATTTAAATTCAAGCTTTACTTATTATTATTAAATCTTTAATTAATATTAGTTGTAAAATACTATTTTATGATATATAGAGCCATTATTATTATTTTTAGTAAAAAGTTAGTTTCAAAAAATATACACAATTAAGAAAATGGTACATGAATAATTTTAAGAATATAAGTATCATGTTAGTTGAAACAGGAATTACACAGCGATGCTATACGTTAACCACGATTAAAGAATAGATTAGCATTATTCATAGAATTAATATGTTTAATAATAGTTTATTTATTGTTATTTAAATATCATTTATGAAGATTACTCAAAATCAATACAATAATTATGATGTAGGACTTTTAATGCATATACAGGGTGTATATGATACTTAGTACTATTTTATAGCATTAGGTCAATGCAACTTATACCATAAAAACTACTATAATTTCGAAAATATGGGTAATTTTTAAAGAATATTTAAGAAAACAAATTGGTGATTATACACGTATAAAGTATACTTAATTCATGTTTGAATACACCAGAGTTTATTAAATTTGCATTACAAATGCCTGATCTACAATAATTTAAAAATTGAAAATAGGTGTCTTAAAAAGCTGAATTATTGTTTAATCAAGCTTCTTAGTGAATACAACAATAACTTTCAATAGCAGGAAAATAAAGTTCATTTAATACTCAATCAATATAAAATGTGTTGAATTTTTAGACTTNATAAAGTTCATTTAATACTCAATCAATATAAAATGTGTTGAATTTTTAGACTTATTAAATTTTCATATAAATTAAAATTAAAAGTTTTATTACATGCAATAGTACTAAATATAATATACACCCTGTAGATCATCCCTATTGAGCGCATGTATTGGCCGCACAAATACTCCCACAAAACAAACAATACACAAAACTCTTGAACTTATTTAATTATAGCCCATGTTAAAATTTTTAATATATTGTATATTTATAAGCTAAATTGTTTAAGATCTATGTTTTTATTTATGTTTTAATACTCTATATACAAATGTATGCGAGAGAGTAAATTATATATGTATGTAAATTTAATGAAACCTGCTTGTTAAAAATATCGCATATTTGAAAAACAATAAATTGTGAAAATATTGGCATTATAAATATATGTTTAATTTATTTGAGTTGATCATTTTGCTAATTATTCATTTCATCAAACATTATCAAACAAAAGCTGTTATAAATCGGTACCAGGTTTATTCATAATTATTTACAATTATTATATTATTAAGCATAATAATTTATATTTACAGTGTTTTATTTACAGTGCATGTTTATTAATTTACATTTAAAAGTTGAATTTTTTTAATGTATCACAAAATAAAAACAGGTGAGTAGAATGTTCTCACCTTCAAGACACAGTCATCGCCCGTGATCTAGGAGAGATATTATCACCTGGTACAAAATGATGAAATTTAATGAAACATGCTTGTTATAAATATCACTTGTCTGAAAACATTCGTTAATATATTGGCACTAAATATTTGCTTAATTTATTTGAATTTATCATTTTGTTTAGTAATTCATTTAGCAGTGTATTTAATAGCTGGTAATATTTTTTTTGTATACATTGTATACTTATCTTATTAATGTAATTTACTTATTGGTAATAATTTTACTAAAATAGATTTTATATACAGTATTGGATCATTTGGGTGAAGTAGCAGTTGTGTGAACTAACCATTTGTATGAACCAAACCCCAAAACCAAAACCCGCACTGCATAGACATAATGTTAAAATAGTACCATTTGTGTGAACGTCACCTGTGTGAACGGATCATTTGTGTAAACAATTTGGTGCTAGTATTATACAACATTCAATGCATTTTAAGATCAGTTGTGTGAACCATATATTTTTGCAATTTGAATGACAACTCATTTAATGAACAATTGAATGAAATACTAACACAATTGTATCTCTCTCTCTCTCTCTAAAACATAACTGTCAAGTCATTACTGAGATTATGAGATGCCATTCCCATCAAACACTAGCTAACGGCATACCAGTGCCAGAGACCCTATCCCTGCGATAAGGCATACATTGTATATAAGAATACCCGTCAAAAGTCTGATGACTTTCTGTCACTTAATATAGTTATTAACCAAAGAATTAAAATATAAAAAGTTTTTAAAACATTTTTAAAAATAACGACAAATAACTCTCATATCGCTTATGGTTTATAAAGTCATTAGATATTTGCGTTAAAATGTAATGTTTGCTATTTTCAACAACAAAAAATCATCTACTGTATATTTGAACATTTTTACTTTAAATATTGCTATAAATTTATATTATGGTATTACTGTTAAATAATATATTATAAATTAAATATTCATATATTATTATAACAAATGATTAATGATATAAACACGTGGACTATTTTTGCATTAATTAATCATATGATTTAGGTAAAAATAATATTATAATAGATATTTTAATTATTAGCAAATCATTACTTAATATTTAAAAAACCTCTAATAAAAAACTAACAAAAAATGTTTACGCTTACAAATCAATCAGTTGTGACACATTGAGGTGAAAATCATTAAAAAAAACAATAAGTTATCGTTTTAATTTTATTTTTGAACTAGATTCAATATTTAAAATAAATATTTATTTCATTCAATAAAGTTTATTTTTATGTATGCAACCTGTAAATTACTATCGTGTTATTAATTTGCAACATTTAATTAATATCTAAGACATTTTAAATTGGACACAAAATATTCATCGATACTTTTTTGTTATTTAAAAATACACATATTAACTATATTTAATTTTTAATATACTATTTAGATATATTTAATTTTAAATTTTATACCATGTTTATAATGTTTAACTTTTAACAATACAGAAACGGCTCTTATACTGCAGTCGAGTTTCTCAGAGACGAGACAAGTGGACGACTCCATTGATATCAGACGTAATCTTAGACTTCGTTACCCTAAAGACCCGCAGAAGGAGAACAGTCACGAGTAAGTAACTGTAATTTACATACACCTAAACCATGGTAAATAAAATTGGCATATATTTATACAATTTGAATTTTTACAGTAGATTTTATATGATAATAAAGTACATAAAACAATAGATATAAACTGTATACTAAAATATAAATTTACATTACAATAGGCTAATTTATTAGCATAGTTACAAATGGGCGTTTGACAAGTGGTGGAATTATTTTAAAAAGCATACAATTGAATAAATTATTTGATTAAACGTTTAATTGTATTTATTTTTGACCTAGGTACTGTGTGGTGTTCGAGATTGTCAAATCGCGCAAATCGTGCGACACACTAGGCTCGGAGTTGGAGCGCAAATTGGAGCAGGGTAGCCGCGTGTGCGTACAGTGCCAAGACGCGGCCATGCGCAAACACCTGGGCTACCGGTGCCACGGGCACGGAGTCGAGGGCAAAGTGACCCGTTGGACAGCTTTGGCCGGCAACTCGTGTCACGGCCGGTGGGTTCGCCGCGAACAGTACACCCACTGTCCCTGTCACGCAACTGGTCACCCTGATTTCATATTTGTTTGATATGATTTCATTATGCTTAGTTTTCTATTAATGTTCTATACACCAGATTGTTTTTGTTCGTTTATTTGATTTGTAACATTTTTAAACTGTAACTTTTTTTTAGCATTTTGCAATATGTTTTAGTATTGAATTAAAATATATAATTTTGGTTTAAAGTCAGTAAACTATATTTAACTTTTCCATAATTACTTATTATACTTTGTAATTTAACTTTTTAAAATTAATTTTAGTGTGTTTTATTAATTATAATAATAGTTACAAATATTATATTTCTTTTTCTCATCAATTATTTAATATTATTTATATTTAATTAATTATAATTTTGTTTTATAGTTAATGATAATATATTTTTGACTAACATATTAATACAAATTATATTTAAAGTTTTAAACACATAATAAACCATTTAAATAACTGATTTAATTAATGTTAATTATTAAATAATACGCTCACTATAAGTGCCTTAAAAATAAGTAATGTCTTAATAAATCATTTTCTGTAAAGTTTTTATCACATTTCAAAAATAAAAGTTTAATTACAATTAAAACTATTTAATAATTTATGCATGAAGTATATTTATATATTAATTATTCAAACATGGTCATCCCAAAAACTCAAATTTTAATCAAAGTCTAATTAGATTTACATATTTATATTAAACATATTTATATCAACATGATTTTATTCATTAATGTAAATTTACAATCACTTAAAAATGGTATTAAAAATAATTTCTTTAAACATAGAAATTGTTATTAAAAACTGTAACATTATGCATTCAAATTTTAAAATAATAAGGTTAAATATAAAGTAATTGAAAATGGCGTATTACATCCAGTATGATGGTTTAGTATTTTTAAATTTATATTTGATCATAATGGTTTCAATTAAAATTAAGCCATTTATCTACTTCTTAAAATACTTTTATTAACAAACGTGCAATTATAATTTTATAAAGTTGTATTTGTTTGCTAAGTTTATTATCCTTGATACATAAATATTTGCATCTAAAAAGTTTTAAACTATTAAAATAATTAATGATAATAAATTATGATTCATAATATAGAAATAACAGAATTGACAAAAACAAATATCATCATTTATTATAAATGTCAATATACTGTACAGGGTGTATATTATATTTAGTACTATTGCATGTAATAAAACTTTTAATTTTAATTTATATGAAAATTTAATAAGTCTAAAAATTCAACACATTTTATATTGATTGAGTATTAAATGAACTTTATTTTCCTGCTATTGAAAGTTATTGTTGTATTCACTAAGAAGCTTGATTAAACAATAATTCAGCTTTTTAAGACACCTATTTAGTTAAAAATTTAATAACATCTAGTCCGTAAACATTACGTTTAAATTATTTGAGACCACATAAGTTTGTACTTAATTCATATGAAATATGCACATATTAGTGGTTAAACAAAAGAATTTATAAGAAAAAAAATTACCCATATTTTCGAAATTATAGTAGTTTTTATGGTATAAGTTGCATTGACCTAATGCTATAAAATAGTACTAAGTATCATATACACCCTGTACATAGCTATGTATTTTACATAACAAATTAACAAGTTAAATATAAATTACATTAACAGGGTAATTGATATTGTTTATAGGGACAGTAATATATTTGTACGTGTTTGGTATAAACATAAATAAATATAATTGATTTCTACATAAGAACGGAATTGGAATTGAATTAATTGTATGATAACAAAATTTTAATATTGTGTAATTAATTTGTAAGTCACAATTGGACAATCACATACTTGGTCAAATACTAGTGTAAAAGTATAATATAAATACTATGTGAAGGCGAGAATGAGGAGGTGGTAGACTTGAGCCCACGGAAGGTAAATGGTAAATTAAATACATATGCTTGTTCAAGCTGTAAACGCATATACAGATATTTAATAATATAAATATTATAATTTATTGTAAATAAACTTGGCATGTGTATAGTCGAGCGACTTTTTTAATTTTATAAACTTTAATCAAATTAAAAGGTTTATAATCTGATAAACAAATTAAATAATATTGTTAACTATTGTACATATAATTATCTTAAACTAAATCAAGAATATTGTCATTATTTAAAAATTCTAATTTAAATTAAATACATAGATGAAATTTTATACGTTTTCATAGTTTATACAAAAGCAAATTATTTAAACATTGTCCAAAATTAAATATTGAATTAATAGATTGTATTGATTTTTACTATACATCAAGACATGGCATAAATATAAGTAAGAAATAATCAGAATAACAAAATCTAATAAACATTTATTTGACTTTTGTATAAATTTTTAAATTAATATACATTTAATGTACGAAATATTTAAAATAAGGCAATTTATTTACTAATTGATTGTATTTAATTTATTTTTAATTTATATTTAATTGTATTTTCAAACATGTAATTCATTAACAAGTTTTTTAAAATAAAATTTATTCAATCATTCATTATTTGATTTGGTATTTTGTGATAAAGTTTAATAAATTAAACTTATAAATGTAAGTTTAGAAACATGCTAATTTAAACTGTAAACATAGGGAATTGTGTTTAATAATATAACACTTGTAAATTATTATGAATAAAACTTGGAGCCCAAGCAAAGACAACACTTTTTGAATTATATATAAATATTTTAATCAAATTAAAATTTTAATGAACAAAACAAGTAGCAAAAGTAATGAAACGTATTAATTACAATTTGCTTTGTTTACAAAAATTAGATTAAAATTATCAAATTTTATTAAAAACCCATAAGCTTATTGTTGTTCATAAACATTACATTATTTATTAAATAATAACCAGTGCTGTAGACTTAACATAGCCCATAGAGGTAACATAGTAATTATTATTTGTTTGCCATTATTAGATTCTGTACACTATTACATTATTAAATTTAGTTATTACTAAACCGACCAAAACACCACCGACTGTCTGGCTGTCTGCGCACCTGTCATACATGTTTATACAGTGCAACTCCTCCATAACGAACGGCCAAATGCACGCCAAAACCGTTCGTTATAAAGAGAGTTCGCTGAAGAGAGGGTTAAATAGCCCTATTTGTTATACGAAATTAGTTTATCAAGTGTTCGTTGTGGAAGGTGATTTGCTGTAGAGGGGGTTCGCTATGGAGGGGTTGCACTGTAACATGCTAATTATTGTGATGAATTATATACATTGTTTTTATATTGTAATTTAATTGAACATTTGGTAATAAAAAAATCATTTGTTAACTCGAAGTTTAATTATTTATGCTAATATTTACTGTTACGTTTTTGTTAATTTAAATAGTCACAAAAGTATCTTAAAATAAATAAATGAATATTTCTGATTTCCCGCGTCCACTTATTGTAAAATGACATACTATGCTGCTAGTATGCTGGTATATTTGAAAGTGCATTAAGTAATTTAATTACAGCTTTATATATGGACTTAACATTTAGCACTGTCCATTTTAAATCTATGTCATAGTCTTAAGTTGTAATCATATAGAAAATCACTAACAAATTATTCATTATTCAAAAAATTATTTAAGATATTTTATGAATATAACATATTCTATTGTTCAAACTGTAAGCATTGTTCATTATGGTTAAATATACAATTCTATTCATTAAATTTTAATTATTTTGGATTAAAAGAGTAGATCTTTTTTACGTCATTTAAACGCATTACAAATTAAAAAATTAATTTGATAAAACAAGTTATTTATATGCGTATAATACTATTTTTATTAGCCATACGTTGTTTTACATAATTTTAGAGACACACTAAACCGAGTAGATAGTTATAGAATAAAGTTATAAGTTAAAATCAAAAGTGACAATACAATTTATTAATAAAACTTTTTTCAAATATAGTTATTAAACAAAAAAGTATTACCAAACGTAGATTTCCTAGCTAAAACAAAATTAATTATTATAACTAATAATTATATTTTGGTTATTTTAAAAAATGCTAATCCTATAGACTCTTAGTAAATGTGTTTTATTTATTTATTTATAAAAAATAATTTTTGGTTAAACTATTATTTTTATAAATATAATATCACATTAAACGAATTAATTTCAAGACCTCATTTTTAATTAATTATAATTAAATTAAATTATTAATTTTAAAACGCGTTTAATATTTAAATGCTCACATTTATTAAATTAAATTATACAATTATACGACAACATTTCATTTTGTTTTAAAAAATATATAATTATTTGTAATTTTATATTAATATTGATTTTCATAATATAATATTTAAATTAGATACTAAATTATATGTTATATTATGTTAGATAATATTTTATGTTATGTTTTAATGAGATACAATTGCAATGTATATACGAGTTGGGGTAGGGTCAGGTGGGGTGAGATTTATCCTCCACCTCGGCGGACTTTGAATCTCAAAATATTTTAAAATTAAAAATGTTGGTAAAACTAGACTTCTATTAAGTAAATTAATTACAGTTTAAACATTTTGGTATAATTTAAAGAGTATATAAAATACCAGCTATTAAATGAACATGTCTATTTTTTAAAGTCGTTGTTTACTATTATTCACTAAAAGCATTTTTACTTTTAGATTTATTAATTTATTTGTAATTGGTACTACACTGCCGAACGATTCTATAAACCACATTATTCATTATGAATTGTGGTTAAAAATAAAATATGTTGCAGTGTTTAAATAGGTATTAAAGAATTTTATTACAACTTGATAATTGTGTTTTTTACTTTACTGATAAATGTGGAATTACATCGCACACCGCAATTACACAATTTATGTTTACTAAAAATTATATAATAAATCTACTAAAATATCTCAGTTTAATAATAGATTACTATTTTAAATTATAAAATTGAATTGCAGTTTGAAAGTAAACATGTAATATTTTGTATAAAGTTAAATAATAACATCTTATTCGTATATACAAGCTGCAATTAAATTATTTAATAGACTTTCAAATTCTCA